GCTTTCATGGAAGCCTGATTCTTTTGGCCACGATCGTCATCGTGACTCTTACCATTCTTTTTGCCAATTTTCAAACTCTTACTTTATATGTAATGAGAGCTTTTCTACCACGAATCCTTTATCATCACCGGCATACTCCTCCTTCAAATAATCCTCAAAACTTGCTTAGCTGTTTTGAAGAGACATAAATTCTGGTGAAAATTAGTTGTTTGAAAACAGCGGGAAACAAAACAATTTTTTTCGCCTTTTGATTTTCTGGTTTTACCTCTCCTTTAGGTTTTTGATCTGCGGCCATGGTGGGATTTGCAAGGCAGCGGAACAACTTCATTAATCCTCATTCCACAGCTTCCCAAAGATCAGAAGCAGATACATACGTGCGGACTTGGTCAAGTTCACGGTGATTGCCCATAATTTATTCATAGTTTTCTCCGGTCAAAATAGGATTTGTGAAGCATTTTTCGCGAGAAAAAATTCCTTCTAGATTCCATCACACAAGTCCCTTAAGAATAGCGGATATACGATACAGTGAAGGTTTAATAATGGAAAACACAGAAATAGACCAAAGTTTCTTTATAAACAAAGGAATACTGAAAGTTGAAGAAAAGAAAATATTGATGTTTGAAAAGGTGATATTTCATTTCATCAAGAATCCTTTTACAATTTATTAGTGTGATGAAGTGAAACTTGAAAAATAGAGAAAATTGACGCAAAACACGATCGCCACAATAGCAGAGCAACTGAATAAGTGCTTGATTAGCACGAAAAAAAAAAAAAACTGCAGATTTCTAAAAGACTCTATCTAAAACTCTTTAAGGAAAATTTAATAAATAAAAGACACATGACAAGCAGTGAGTTTGAAGTAAAACAGAAAGCAAAAAAACTAATAAAAGAGAATATTCTAGTTAGTTAAAATGAGCCTATGAAATAATTAATTCAAGCCCCAATATTCTTGAACAATTGATGCTGAGTACCACTTATCTATTGTCTTTTTCAAATTATCTGCTTATTGAAGTAACAGAAGCAAAAAACTAATAAAGAGATATCTAGTTAGTTAAAATGAGCCATGAAATATAATCAAGCCCAATATCTTGACAATGATGCTGAGTACCACTTATCTATTGTCTTTTCAAATTATCTTTGCTTTATGATTTATTTTTTCTTTTTCCTTTTTTTTTTTTTACTGGCATTTTGTACGGTCATCATGTTTGAACTATTGTTTGCCAGGACATGATATTAAAAGATGATGCATTTGGCTATGGGAGATGGTGGAAGTAAACCTTTGTTCTACTTACTACCCGTCCCATCTTATTCTCTTCCTGCATTGGGTATCTAGATTACCAAACAATTTTTTGTTTTTCTAGGAAGGACCATTGGTGCTATTGACCAACTCTTTAAAAGGAGATGATCTTATGAAAATTATATGAATAGGTATGGAGCTGACATGGGTAATGGAAGAGCAGGTTTGGAAGAAGAACATTTAAAAGTCGAGGTTAACGTGAGTTTTTTTATTGATTGAGAGAATAATATTTTTTTTTTTCTTTGACCGCGTGGAGTTCATTGCTTGGCCCAAGCTAAAAAATAAGTAATTGGATCCAACTGTTACGATTTAATGAGTTTTTTTTTTTTTTTTTTTGGCCAAAAAGGTGGAAAATGGGTAAATTGAATATTGGGTACAAGTTCAAATGGGCAATTTGAGCATTTTTCCTATTTTCTAATGAGTGGCATCATTGCATTTATTAAAGAATATAAAAAAAAATTAAGTATTTGACATATTAAGAATAAAAAACAGAGAGACTCCAGTTTGAGTTCTTGGTTGACAAACTGTAGCTTTTCCCTTGTATAGACAGACACTCTTTTTTTTTTATCAGTAAATTTAATTTATTTTATTAATATGCAGGAAAAAACTTAATTTATCTAGACAACTAATCCAAGTCAATAGGCTTCCCAATACACCCAAACTTAATCTGAAAAAGTTAAGTGAAAAAAACCTAGAAGAAATATATAATAATAGATCAAAAAGCATAAATAATAGTGTTTCTTCTTGAGATAAGAATAAAAACAACTAGATCAACATCCCAATGGAAAAGCACAAAAGCTATAAACTTAAACCCATGCCACAAAAGGTTCCACAGCATCAATACCCTTTTTAGCTAAATAATTTGCAAATTGATTGCATTCTCTGTTTACATGCTTAAAATCACTTTGACAAAAGAATATATTACAGATCAAACTTATTAAAACAAATCCACTATTGCCAAGATCGTTTATCTATCTGAGAAACCCACAAAATGACATTTTAGAGTCAGATTCAATAATTTAAGGTAGCGAATTATAGTTAGAATAACAAAATAACTCAATTGCCTTCAAAATTACTAATAGTTCAGCTTCAGTGTGTAAAAATTCCCACCTATTGATAGAAAATATAACTAACCAAGCCAAGAGAATTTCTCAAAACCCCACCAATACTAGCTGGACCTAGTTTTCCTCTCGCAGCCCCATCAACGTTAAACTTCAGAACATTTCGGGTGGACAATTCCAAAACCTAAGCAAAAATAAAACTCTTCCACTTCTGTTATGCATATTACTCTTACATACCAAGATAGAAAAGAAAAACTAGTCATAGAGGCTAAAAGGCAAAGAGGGAAATTTTACTTTAAAAATCTCAAAACTTCTAAATTTAATATCATCAATTTCCTTTTCTTTCTGATACCCGAAATCAATAGTATATAGTACATGAGTATAAGTTCCTATTTTCCGTCAGCTAATAAAATATCATCAAATGGAGACAACCAAATTTACTCAACAAAGTATTTCCTTCCTTAATTATCTATCTTCTCTACATAGATAAAGAACTTTACAGATTTTAAAACTAATTAGCTAGAGTGCACATTTTTGGCTTAATGTTTGTAGAGTAGTTGAGACACGAAAGACTAGTCAACCAAAATAGATGAAATACTCTTATATAAGGTAGTTAGGGTTTTGCACGCCATCTTAGCTCATGCAATATGCCCCTTCCATCATAAAAGGCCACAAATTATATATATTAATTATTCTAATTACACATATCTCCACTTACGTTCTCAAGTTTTACATCCCTAATTTTCAACCGTTGGTTTGAAATGATCCAACGATTCCTCTTCTTATAATTCTGCCTACCTTGTGTTATAAAGACTATCCATGCACTTCTTGTACATTTAGCACTGCTCATATATAATCTTCCTCATGCAAGCACTGCAGTTCACCTACCAGATATAAACTCCATCACAGATATATAACAAGAGAGAGTTTTACGAAAAATAATAATAATAATAATATATATATATATTCACAGATATATAACAAGCAGAGAGTTTTACGAAAATAATAATAATAATAACTATTATATATATAATATATATTATAATAACACATCAGAGGGATATATACACACATCAGAGGAAAAAGGTAAATTTTTCTTTGTTTCTTTTGTTAAAGAAACCCTAAAATAAAAGAAAACATATAAAATGCTGAGGTATGATGATTTGGGTCTAATCTTCTGTTGTAAGATGCTGCAGTTAACCGTATCTATCATTTGAAGTTCATATTCATCATTTCTTTAGTTTTTCTTGCTTAAGTTTGTTTGGTTGAAAAGGGAGATATCTTTATCGGTAGGTAATTACCGGTGAATTCATATGTTTAACGTTCAAATCCTTCTCATATTTCAGTATTCTTTTTCAGTATAAGAATAACGGATTCATTCTAGAGTTCACAATTGCCGCTTCTTATAAATATTTTTCCATATATCAAACTCTGACTTTATAGAAAGTGCATGATCGTTTTAGTATATTTTGGATAAATAAAATTGTGTGCTTTGTAATGGATATTAGTATACATACGTATGTTTGTCTTGTTTGTTAATAATTATATAGCATATGGCTTTAACCAATAATTGTTTGCAGGTAAATATGACATCATGAATGTACTTCAAAGCCTCATAGAAAGACTAAGGCCTCTTGTGGGTTTGAAAGGCTGGGATTATTGTGTTCTTTGGATATTTAGTGATGACCAAAGGTTAGAAAAATACTAATTTATATTATAAATTTGACCAAAGGTTAGAAAAATACTAATTTATATTATAAATTGCATAATCAAATTCTCTCTCTTATTTTTTTTTTTTCAATTTTTTTGTAGGTTTCTCGAATGGATGGAGTGTTGCTGTGGTGGAACTGAGGACATACAAAATGGTGGAGATGACGTTCAATTTCCTCTTTCTTCTTCTTGTTGTAGGGATTTAATCTTTCAACACCAAAGAACTAAATCTTGTGAACTTCTTGCACAACTGCCCACTTCAATCCCATTAGACTCTGGGTATAAGTTTTGTATATTAATTTATTCTCCGTTTAACCTTCCTTAACTATTAGTTATTAGTTTATCATTACATGAAGACTGCTTTGTATTTGTTCTCTCTATCTCTTTTAATAGGATTCATGCACAGACCTTGATATCAAACCAGATTCATGCACAGACCTTGATATCAAACCAACCCAGATGGCTAAATTTTTCTAGTTGTTCAGATTCAAGTGTTCCTGAAATGAGTGAGTTTAATTTCCTTTAATTCTTTCTATATAAATAAATTACAATCCCTAATTTTCAAATTAATGTTAATTATTATTAATAATTCAGGGAACAGTTGGAACTAGGGCTTTGATACCAGTTCCTGGAGGACTATTAGAGCTGTTTGTTACTAAACAAGTAAAGTGACAACCCTTTTTCATGATCAATACAAATATTAGGTTTTCTTTAATTAATTAGAGTACAAAAATGATCTTGACATGATAAATATAAAATTATTTATTAGCTAATTATTGTTTTAATTACAGGTATCTGAAGATCAACAATTAATAGATTTTGTAACATCTCAATGTAGCATTATAAGGGAGCAAGAAGCCATTATAAACTAAACCAACATGGAAGCAAGTTTTGCAATTAATATGAACATGATCAGTGAACAACAATCTTCGAAACCATTTCTAGCTGTTGATCAAGATCATGATCATCACCATCACCCTCAAATTAATCAATTCCAGGCACATCAAGCATTAGAGAATTTGAATAACTTAGCATATGATATCTCCGGAAACCGAGTCCCTCTATGCAGTCCTCCAATGAATTTCTTGCAGCAATTTAATTATAATGAGGATAATAAGAACTACAAGACTAAAAATGGTGATGATACTTTCTTCGAAGGCGCGGTTGATGGAGTTGAAGATATTCAGAAATCAGTAATAAGTGATAGTAATAATAAAGAAGAGAAGCAATGGGATGATAAAGAGTGTATTAAACAGGAGAAAGGGAAATCGGATTCGATGGACTGTAATTATGATGAACTTGATGACGAAAATGATGCTAAATATATGAGAAGAATCGGATTCGATGGACTGTAATTATGATGAACTTGATGACGAAAATGATGCTAAATATATGAGAAGGACAGGAAGAAAACCTGAAACTAAAAATCTTCATGCTGAAAGAAAGAGAAGGAAAAGGCTTAAAGAGAGACTCTATGATCTACGTGCCTTGGTCCCCAAAATTTCTAATGTAATTATGTCTTCTTCTACCTTTTAATTATTGATGTTTATATGTATATTTATGTGTAATGTTGTGTTTTTATGATCAGCTGAACAAGGCTGCCATACTTGGAGATGCAATTGAATTTGTGAAGGAGTTGCAGCAGCAAGAAAAAGAACTGCAAGATGAGCTTAAAGAGCATTCAGATGATGAAGGTGGCAAAAATGGGAATCAAAACAATATTCCATCGGAAACTCTAAGTCAAAATGGAGGTCTTGGAAATGGGTTTCAGAATATTCCATCGGAAACTCTAAGTCAAAATGGAGGTCTTGGAAATGGGTTTCAGGCGGGAGCATCAGAAGTTAGCTGCCCAAAATTGAATCAGCAAAAGTCAGAAAATTTTCATGATAAGGGACAACAAATGGAGGTAATTAATTAGATAAATCCCATGTTTAATAACTCATTTCTTAATTAAATTATTAATTTGTTAATGAAACAATTGCAGGTCCAAGTAGAAGTGGCTCAAATAGATGGAAATGAGTTCTTTGTAAAGGTATTTTGTGAGCATAAGGCAGGTGGGTTTGTGAGATTAATGGAGGCTTTGGATTCTTTTGGCTTAGAAGTTACCAACGTCAATGTAACAACCTGCAGAGGCCTTGTCTCAAATGTTTTCAATCAAAGTACGAGGTTTAGAGCTTTAAGCCATTCCTTGTCCTGCCACATTGATATGTATCAAATTTGAGTTTTAATTATCTTTCGAATTTGTTCTTTTTTTTTTTTTTTTTTTTTTTTTTGGGCAGGAGCGACAGTGGAAAACGGTTCCAAGCAGATTATTGTGAGGAACTCTTTGCTAGAGCTAACAAGAGACCATTACCAAGAGGAGTGGGCCAGCTTCAGATAATGGTAAACTAGAGCTAACAAGAGACCATCCAAGAGGATGGCCAGCTTCAGATAATGGTAACGGCATGGACTATCACCACCACCACCACCACCACCACCACCATCACCACCTCCACAATGCCATGTCACTTCCAATCACCACCACCTCCACAACCTTCATGGTTAAGTATAGCTAGAATAGATAACATGGTAGAATTTTTATTTTTAAATATCATTACTAAATTCAAGAGATAAACTTAGTATAGTGCAAAATAAAATAAAATAAAATGAGATTATTTTATTGCAAAATAAAATAAAATAAAATCTCAACTTAATTTGATTCTCATTCAATAACCAAACAAACTAAGTAGCTAAAAATGATTTTAATTAGGATAAAATCACAACAATTAACTAATAAACATACTCATATTTAAGTTTAGATAAAATAGATTCACCCATCGATCAGAATCGATATAATATTAATATAAATTAAAAAAAAATAATTGAAAACTTTTATACATCAAAAGAATTCATAAAAAGATATAATAATCTTCTAGAACTATAAAATAGACATTCAATTGCTAAAAAATGACAAAAGAAATACAAGTTCTAGATAACAAAATAACAAAAAAAATTTCAAGAATACAATTTGAATAAAATTCCAAATGCAACAAGGCAATAAATATTCCATGGGTCCAAGGCATGCTTTGTAGTAGAAGAGGTTGGTGGTGGAATTGGTTCACCATTTGAAGTAGAAATGGATTGTCTTTTAACATCAATCTCAAATCTCATTCCTCCAAGACAATGCCCATCTACATTGCAAATGAACCAATACTTCTTTTGTTGGGTGAGTTTTATTTCATCATTTCCACTCTCATATTTTGCTATAACTCCACTGCTTGTATCACATGATCTATATGTCTTCTCCATTACCTCATACACATTGTGTTGTCCCTTCACATACTTGAAAACTACATATTCACAATACACACACATGATTAATAATAATAATAATAATAATAATAATAATAATAATAAGGAAGCATGGTCTAGAGTTGATTAATGTTAATTTGCAATTCATGGAGACATTATGGCTTTGATGCTTAACATATGTAACCTCAATTTTTTTATAATGGACCAATTTTTAGTTATTGTAATATTCATTTTCTCCAACATAGGCAGATAAATCATCTACATATAAATATGATCATAACATCAATTAAATTATCGTTTGCCAATTTTGTTAAGAAAAGGGAAAATGAGCTATCCTCTTTATATATTTTAAAAATCTATTGACAGCTACCGGTTGAAGAATTAAACATTAATAGTTAGAAATATTGATTTTTAGTATTTCAATTAAATTTTAAACTATCAATTGCTAGATTTTGAATAAATTTGCACTAATTTTAGATTTAGCAAATACTTCTAAATTGAAATTCGTTCGAAAGCCAAATACTAAATGATTGGTTTTCAATCACTTGACCTAATTTTTTCGATCAAATTTCATGAAATAGTGAAATATTTTGACTAGATTAATGCATAACCATCAAACCAATACCCTCCATACTAAATCATAATTGAGCAATTTATTCAGAAAAAAAACACTTGAAGAAGAAATAAATTAAGCAAAAAGAAGATGATAACATACCAAGAACATCGCCAACACTAAAATTATATTTGTGTGACCATGAACCAAAATTTGAATCAGAAGTCCAGCCTTCTTCATCACCAACTGTATAAACTACTTCAGATCTAACATGGATGAACAAGAACAACATATTCACTATAATAATAGTAATATATTTCAAGATCTTGGTCTCTCCCATTTGTAATATCTTTTAGTTACAATACAAAGCAAATGATATTAGTGAAACAGTAGAGATGATGGCTGTTTTATAGTACTTTAATTTTTAATTGATTATATTTAATTAGTTGTAGATGGCAGCTAAATTAGTATGCTTTATTATATAATAATTAAGCTTATCTGGGTTTATATACTATGTTTAACATACTTGTAATTTTGTTATGTTGGAAAGAAAATAAAAAATAAAAAAATAATTAATGTGCAAGTGGGGTAAAAGTATGACTTGTAATAATTAAAAATAAAGAAATATAATGCAAATTCTCAACTTTTGATTCTTGCACGCATGTTATGTAATCCTCAAGCAAACAAAGATGATGAGATAACTACCAAATTAGAATAAAGCAGCACACTTTGAATTATTATCAACTTAGGAATGAAGCTATCAGATTATGAAGTTTAAAGGTTAATTCTTTGTCAACCGTTTGATGAATAATTTAGTGATTTTAATTGTATGTCTAATCTATAATAATATACAAAATATTTTTTTAAGCCAAGAATTTACCTTTGAATAAAAATAAGTCCGGACAATAATCAAATTAAATTGAATTGATTAGTTGAATTCAATTTTGAAAAAAAGAATCGATTTCTTCTGAGTTTAATAGAAAAAATTAAGAAATAGTTTGATATTACTCAAATATTGAATAAATCCCAAAAATCAAACTTATTTAATTTAAAAAGATCAAATCCGATCTATTCAGTTTCATTTTTTAATAAAAAAATTCTGATTTAATTATTGCATTTTTTATATTTTGTTTTTCTTATTTAAATATAATTTAGTGTATAAATTGCTTAGATCTATTAGTTATATTAGAATTTTGAATAAAAATTTCACTTTTGAGACTTGATTATATGTAATTTTCGAAGTAGTAATTATTACTGAAAATTTAAATTTATAGATTAATTGACTTAACAAATATTTTTTTTTATAATATTTCATTATTTAAAAAAATTAGTCCAATGTATCTCAGTAAGAAAAAATAGTCCAATGAGTTTTTTTTTAAGACCACATATATGTAATTTCAAAGAAATATTAGTGAAAATATAATAAATATTATATTTTTTTTTAAATCTCTTAAATTAGAAAAAAAATCAAAATATGATTTGAATTCAAATTGACCAAATACATAGATTGCTCTCTCAACTTTAATAAATTAACCTTATGACACCCTCAACTTTACAGACACTAATTATGTACCTAGAGTAAGAAATTTTGTACCAATTAAACACCTTAAATGTTGACAACCGCATATGTATTACAATTTTGACTCATCCAACGAACTATTGTTTAAAATTTTGGTGGGCCCCTTGAAGCCAAGTGCGTAATGTAATATGCTTGGGCATGATGTTTAATTCTGTTCAAATTAGTGGATAAAGGGAGAACTGAAAATATGATCTTCACTAAGGAGGACCCAAAATGTCGATTTTTTCCAAGTTTCTTTCTTTCTTTTCTTTTTCAGAATAATTCATTAAAAAAAATTATAGATTTGAGCATACATTTCATGATTGCATCAAAATAAATAAATTAAGTAATAATTTTTTGGCCTTTGCTTGCCCATATATAAGCATAAAAAAACAATAAATATTTATCAAAATTTTAAATTTGAAAATATTAACAACAATTATTTATCAAGTTAACAACAGAAGAGGATAGCTTTCTCACTAACAAACCACATCCGTTTCAAATATTATATGCCTGAAAAAGCTTTTCATTTATAGCATTTCAAATATTTAAAAGAATTGTAGTATTTGAATTTAAGACAAGGCAACAGAGCTCGCTAACAATTTGGTCGATGACGGCTGGAGATGAGGAATGGAGGACTGAGAGATGGCTTCTCTTCCACGATCTGATTCCTAGTAAGGTCGGCGGCACGAGCGTGCTGGATGATACGGGCGTGCTTGGACTTCCAGGGACTAGCACGAGCGTGCTGGGTATGACACGGACGTGTCGGCACTCGAAACCGAACTGGACTCGTCGGCTTCGGCACGGCCGTGTTTGACTTGGCATGGGCGTGCTTGGACTTCCAGAGGCTAGCACAGGCGTGCTCGTGCTTCTTAGGCTTGGGCGTATCTCGCGCCCTGGACTTCTAGAGGTTGGCACGGGCGTGCTAGATATGGCATGGTCGTGCCGCGATCATATATTGAAGTGCAAATTGCTCTGCATCAACTGGAGCTGATTGAAGAGAGAGAAAATAATGCATTATTTTCCTGAAAATATGCTTTATTTTTGCTCAGTGGGATTGCTCTTTTAGACACAAAGAAAAAGAGGGAGAGAGAAGGGGCTTTTGGATGGGGTTCGGTGGATACGAGGAGAGAATGGAGAGCCACATAAAGATTTTGAGCTAGAGAGATGAAGCTTTGCAAAGGATGTTATTTTTTTTATTTTTAAAATTGCTAATGTGTAAAAAATATGGGTTTTATTCTCGTTTACTTATCCTACTTAGCTTCTTTGTAATACACGCGCGATTGTTAGTATGGGATTAGTGTAAAATTTTTTACTTCAAGTATATAATTGGTCCTTGCAAAGTTGGGGATGCCGTAAAATTAATTGCAAAATTCAGGGAGCATTACATGTATTTGACCAGTTGTCCCTAAAAATTCAGCTTGCTAAGTTTTCTTTAGATGTTTCTCTTTGAATAGAGGAAATTCCTTCTTCTATTGATCCTTTTGTTTTGTTGGATTATCCCCTTCGATAAAATCACTTTTTTCTTCTAAAAAGAAATGGCGGATTATGTAAAAAAAAATTAATAATAAATACAACCAATACGCCGTCGTGTCAGCTGTCTCCGACTCCAAGACTGTTGAGTTCCCTGCATTTCACTGCTAGCAATTGACTTGTCAAAAACCCTTCAAAAAACCCTAAACAACCTTAAAAGCCCTTTCTACAGTTTCTTCCAAAATCGAACCCATCAATCGAAATGGCAGGAGGCCGATTCAGAGAACTCTTAAAGAAGTACGGAAAAGTAGCTTTAGGCGTCCACTTCTCTGTCTCTGGCGCCTCAATCACCGGCCTTTACATTGCCATCAAGAACAACGTCGACGTCGAATCGCTTTTGGATAAGTGGCATCTTCCTGGAATCTCATCCTCCAAAGATGAAAACCCACAACCCCAAGACCCGGAATTTAAATCCCATGATTTTGAAGAGAGGGATGAATCCAAATCAATGCCGGAGGAGAAGAAGAGAAATCGCACGGCTGAGCTTGCTGCATCCACTGGTGGTGCCCTTGCTCTTGCTGTGCTGTGTAACAAGGCGCTTTTTCCGATTCGGGTGCCCATAACAATTGCGCTTACGCCTCCAGTGGCTAGGTTCTTGGCTAGGAGGAAGATTATCAAGAACAGTGTATGATTTTTGCTGTTATTATTATTTAAATTTTTAGTTCTTCTTTTAAAGACATCCTATTTGAGCATCTCTGTTTTTCTTGCTGGTTGCCTTGATGGTGTCGAATGAAACAGAGAGGGAGACAGGAAATTGGAATCACATATGGTTTATCATCTCTAGTGATAGTAATAAATACTTTAATTTTTTGTTTTTTTGTCATGATAGGACACAGATTCAATAATATGGATTCTTTTTTCCCTATGCATCTTTGTTGTGTTTGATTATTGAAGTTTGTTGAATCATATGATAATTGGGAACTATTAATATCCATTGGAGTTGGATTGCAAGAAATTGAACTTTTGATTTCTTATAAGTGTAAATACTCAAATTTTGTTTCTCCTTTTTATGTTGAGAAAATTAGAGGAATATTAGAACTGCCATTTTGACAGTTAAGGTATCATCTTCCCTCATCACTAACTGGGTTGGTTGGTTTTTTTTAATTTATTGAATATTTGACATGCTATTTTGAAGATTTTCTTTTTACACTTTGAACTGATGATCTTAAAGTACATCTTTTTCTACAAATTGAATTATATGATAATTGATGATGCTACTATAGATAAAATGATGAACAAGTTGTTGTTTGTTAAGTTTGAATTTGATGGTTGGTTGCTTTTGAGCTTGAGCGAAATAGTAGAATAATCAGAGATATTGTCATTAGTTATTTAATCAGATCCCCCAAGAGGTTGAAAAAAGTGCTATCTATAGTTAGGGGTGTGGCTTGAATTATAATGTGGTCATAGGAAGCAAAATCAATTTTCATGTTAGTGATAATTATTCATTTCTTATTGTTGATATCCATGAAGCCAATTATCACATCTGAATTGAATGAAGATTTGAGGAAATATTTCCAATGGATTCATGATTTCTTCCTGGTCTGTTGGATGATAAAGTTCCAATATTGTTCATCTGCTACTTAATAACTTATAAATAGCACTATTTCTTATGGAGGTCCTTGAAAAGTGATTCTTCAATCTTTGATGATTATGTAAGTGCAGTAAAATCTTTAGGTAGAACAAGACGCTTCTCTAGATATGTGATATGCATAAAATACTTTTCATCTTTCTTTGTTCTCATCAACAATAATTTGCACTGTTTTTCTTACTTAGGATAACACAAGTCTCTATAGGCTGATAAAATTGCTTAGTGAATTAATCTTCTTTTGGCATACAGAAAGGTAGACTTTTTTCTTTGGGTGCTGTCTATTGTCATTCTCATTTCAAAATTAACTTAATAGATGGAACGTTTTTGTCTTTTCAACCAGTATTTCCTCCCCAAAACCATGAATATATTACTCGTACATTTGTACTAAATCTCATTTCATCAAAATTTATTATGTCATTGGTTGCTTCTTGTATTTCCTTCATTACATGCATTGTGCAGCTGTCCAAGTTATTGATAATGCCTGCAATATGCTTCTGCATTTGTTCTGATTTGTGGGAATATTTTTTAGATATGTTGTCCTTTCCTTTCTTTTTTTCTTTCCTTCATTACTTCATGTGAAATCAAAGAGACTAAAACATATTCCTACTCTATATGCTTTTCATCTTGAATCTGTGAAAAATTCCTTTTCTATGCCTAAATGACCAAAAAAGAAGCCCTGAATTTTGGCTATTTTTGCAATTCTAGTCTATTTTTTTAATTTTGGCAATGGTGGTGTGAATTTATTTTTCATTGCAATTATAGCTTCCGTTTTATAAGTTGCTGGCATAGCCGTTAGTGATGTCTATTTTTTGACACATCAGCGCCACATTAACAAGAAAAAAAGAGGGTAAACAAAAGCTTTGAAAATTTTTGTAATTTTAGCGATTCTTTTAATTTTAGCAATTGATGCCATGATTTTTTATTTTGGCAATTTTTTAGACGTCACAATGAAAAAATGAGTTTGCTGCACCTATTGCCATAATAAAACAAAATTGACTAAAATTGCCAAAATAAAAAAAAAAAAATTTTATTTTTTTGGGTCATTTAAGCTGTTTATGTCTATTGCTTGCACTTTTTCTTTTTTTATTACAGTAGAAGAGACTTAATGAACACTGAATAAATGCTATTGTGTTGTGAGAAATAAAGCAAGAATTTAATAAGCACTTCAATTGGATTAAAAACAGAGGGTAACATTTTTATTTTTTTATTTTTATTGAAAAAACATTTATTTAAAGTAGTATACAGTAGAAACTCTTTAATAGTTAAAGGAAAAATTTTAATAATAAAAGTAAATACCTATGTTTGTCAGAAACAGAAGTATAAGTTCTTAAATTAATTTGGCTTTTTTTTTTTATTTGTATGTAATTAAAAATATTTTTTATTTTTGTCCATTTAACCCAATCTTTGTTTAAAAAAATAAAAAATAGTTTATTTTTATGTATTTTAACTCGATCTACATTTTTCTGTAAATCTGTAAAATCAAAATAACTTTTATGTTTGGTACAAGGTAAAAATATGAGTTTTAATCCATTTATACAGATAGAGATGCCACAAAAAGGAGAGAAAAAAGGATAGGTAGAATTATTAAAATTTATTTTTTATGTATTAATGATAAATTTTTACTTTTTATTTGGTTCATGTGAAATTAATCTGTTCATGGTAACATATACATAATTAAAATATCCTTCTGTTTTCACTTCATTCTTCAGCTTATTTCTTCCTGCAAAACCAGGCTAAAGACTGGCAACAGAAACATAATTACAAACCAATAATGCTGAATTGAAGAATATAGAAACTAATTTTTGAACACTTCTATCATTTGAATGTTCGTTAAATACAACAAAAAAGAGCAGAAATTTGAAGAAAGCAATCTTCATTGATATTTTTCCCAACAAAATGCAATCTGAAATCAATCCAAATTCCGGTCTGTCTTCCAAATCCCATAGGGAAGTACCAAAAAATTGTCAACAAGTTAGCAGCCAAATTCCACGGGAAAAGAAGAAAAAGAAATCCCAATTGGTTGTGTTAGACAACAAAATGATCATTTTAGGAGAAAGGAGAAACCGAAGAAACCCCAGACTCTAAAATTAATGACACAAAAATGTCTCATCCGAAGTTATTATAACAAGAAAATCAGACAAAACAAAGAGCCTTTACAATTTACAAGTATCTGGGGGTTGGAAGTAATCGCAATGAATAAAAAATGACTGACCTTGTTGGATTGACGAATATGTGAAGCAGGACTGGCTTTTTGGAACTTGTGTTACGATTGAAGTAGATGCTTAAAATCGTGACAATCGGCTCCAACTTCATTCAATGCCAAGTATAGCTTTGGCACAATCTTAGCTAACATTAGCTTGAAACCAACCGAAGTTAAATTGGAATTGTCAATATTGCTTACAGTGGCTTCTTTAGTAAGAGAGCCAATTAAACTGCCTTTCATATATGCATCACAGGCCTTAAGAATGTAGTATCCGCGCCTTCTGAAATGCTCCTTCACAAGCTCTTCAAAATCCTAACAGTTATCATCAAAATCCTAACAGTTAGCAACACTATGTAAAAAGAAAAAGTCACAGGATAGTGAATTAAGGATTAAGATATCCCAAGTAAATAAGTAAAAAGTTCTCATTAGTATGTATAATGTTCACACCCATTAAAGTCAGAATCTAGTTTCTAAAAAAAATATCAAAAGCCATATGTTATTATTGAAAATCAGCAAAATACTACCATAGAACTAGTTCTTAGATACTAATGTCAATAACAAATGTTCTTCAACCAATATGATAACTTCATCTGTTGCAACTATAGATAGAAAAGGTGCCATCATTGACAAAATAAAAGTTATTTTAATAAAATAAACTCCTGAGATGGATCTAAATTGTCAAAAAAATACATTATTATCATCCGTGCATCATCAATCTTGTAATTCAAGAGCATCCACAGCCCCTCATGCGCTCAATTTATTCCAAATAAAAGAAGAGGCAAATTGGAATTCCTATTAAGCCAAATAACACTTTAAAATAGTGCAGCATTTGAATGTTCAAGAAATGCCATGATGAAGGTGGATGAAAAGGTGAGGAACAAAAGAAATAAACCTAAATGCGCAACAACTTGTTTGGGAAAACAGCAGTCAAAAATAAATAAATAAAAAATTATTCATTTAATTCATGTTAACCTCCCTCACAAAAGCGAGAAGATATCTTGGTGCAGCCAGTATTTTTCTATTCAAAGAGATTTCACCCAAAAGAATGGTACCGCAAGCAGGAGTATGCCAAAAACACATTAGCCAACCATCAACACAATCAAATACAACAACAGCGAGATACGTCCAATGCATAAAAGGGAAAGCGACTCGAGTGGATGAGATTGCAAAGAGAACTCATATTTGCAGGGATTGTACATAAAGACTCATGAAAACTGCCATTAAAGCATAATTTATTAATAAGATATTTCATTTGGTTCAATTGAAAGCAACAAAGATAACTCAGAAATAAAGTTTCAGTTAGCATATGAAAGCTGATAAGCTATAGCATTAATGGACTATATTCGTAGTTGTCAAATTGAGAATCAAATCGAGAATTGGTATCCTTATTTTTTGAATCAAGAATTGAATTGTAAGATTTGGTAAGTCAATTTAAAATTATTAATTTTATTAAAACATATTAAAAATTCAATTGCAAATCATAAAATAAAAGAGAATTTAATGACTTATGTTGTGTTAGTATCTGATTGTAATTTCAGAGTCTAACTGTAATTGAAAATTAGTTTGGGCATTAACTGTAAATATTTTGTTGCCTTGTGATGTAGCAGATATTGAATTGCAATAGTCCACCAATGCAAACATGGACAGATTAGTCAGTTCTTAGCTAATAATATCTGTTCAGATTCTTTCTCTCTTTAAGTTTGGGTGTTACTCGCTCTCTTAGTATCTCTTTTCTTCTCCCTTCTCTCTCCTTTTTTTCTTCTTTTTCTGCTATACTCTACCTGTCTCTCAGTAAACAAACACAGGTTAGGCATCGCATGCATAGGCAGAGCTACGTGTAATGGAAGGGAGCAAATTGCTCCCCTCTCTCTTCTTTTTTTTCAAAAAAAAAAAAAAAAAAAAAAAAAAAAAAAAAAAAAGTTTGGGTGTTACTTCGCTCTCGGTTAAGTATCTCTTTTTCTTCTCTCGCTTGCTTCTCTCCTTTTTTTTCTTCTTTTTTGGCGTGCTATAACTCTACCTGTCTCCCTCAGTAAAACAAACACAGGTTAGAGCATCGCATGCATAGGGCAGAGCTACGTGTAATGGAAGGGAGCAAATTGCTCCCCTCTCTCTTCTTTTTTTTCAAAAAGAAAAAAAAAAAAAAAAAAAAAAAAAAAATAAAAGAAAGAAAGAAAGAAAAGAAAACAAAGAAACTTTGGCAACAATCTTACTTCTAAACTTAATTTTTATACTTATTTTGCACAGCAAAAAAAAAAAAAAAAAAAAAAAAAAAAAAAAAAAAGAAAGAAAGAAAGAAAGAAAAAAAGAAACTTTTGCACAATCTTCTTCTAACTAATTTTATACTATTTTGCACAGCTACTTCCGGATCCTAGCTCCAGCCCTGATTGCATGGAGCGAATTTTTCTTTTTTCTTTTATTTTTTCCCAATGATTTCTGAACCACGTGAATCGACTGATTCATTGCTATGCCTACAATTCGCCTCTGATTCAATCAAGTAGCCTACGATTTATGTACAATTTCGATTCACCCATAAGATTTGAATCATTCAGCATAAAAATTGACTTGAATCAAACAATCTGAATCGTGAATCATACGATCTAGTAACACTATACTATATCATTCACCTATGTTGTGGTCCCAACATGTTAGAGGTCATAAAAAAAACTAAGAATCTAGAATGGAATATTTTAAGGAGAGAAATAAACATAATAACAAAACAAGAACGTGAAATTTAATAATACCTTGGGGGGCCTTCGCATCAGATACATCATTGTTTTGCAATTTAGTAAAAAGGTATTTTCATTATATGACAGTGAATTCTTCTCTCCTTCAGCCGATCCAACCTGCTTATCATATCCAGCTTCATTAAAATATGGCTTAGAATTGAGCACTAACCCCTGAAGTGAAACTAGAACTTGAAGGATGCTAGAAGACACTGGATCCCAAACTTCATTGCCTCTGCCAGTCCAGGTATTTAGAAGGCTAAGGCACACCTTGCCCTCCTCATACAAATTTGGGTTTATTCGCCAACCACCAGAATGGTAATATGCAGACTGCAGAATATAATGGATAAAGACAGAGAAGAAATAGAATTATTAAATCTTTCTATGTCAAAGATGTTGCATCTGAAGCATTCAATGTCTGGATTATGGTTCAAAACCAAATATCAATTATCAGTTATCAGTATCAGTATGTCTCACCGGTGGAACATCAGGATACTCTGGTGGAAGGTGAAAATCGAAACAAAAGAGTCCATCTTGATAGGGTGTTCCATATGCCCCAACAATTACCGCTCTTAAGAGATCCATTCGATCTTCATATACACGTACATAAATCCCATCTGGTAAACTTGCAAGTGTTAATGCCAAGTTCATATTTTTTTTTTCATCAATGTTACAAAACTCACGACAAATAATATACTGAAAATCCTCTTACCAGGCAAGTTGTTCTGAAGAATGTTCCAATCTTGCTGAACCTTCTTGAGCCACTTCCTTGCTTTGTTATTCTGCTAGTTCAATTAATAATAAAATAATCAAAAACTATACCGAAGTTGCAAGATAAACAATTAGAGATAAAGCCAATAAGTTTGTACATGAGTGAGCAATGGATCTCTGTAGTAATAGAGATTTATAGTTGTGCTGGTATGAAATTTTTTTAAAAAAAAAAAAAAGTTATGTTGGTATGATATTTCTCAGTATATTCGAAAAGTATGTGCCAAAATTAATGAACTCATATTAGGAGTTCTTATGATATCAATAAAAGTCTCCTAATTAAGTCTGTTACGTTTAGAGGAAAAACAAAACTAAATTGTAGCACTGCTGCACTGGCAGAAGTTATCACCATATTTTATATAAAAGACAATACATACCTGCCCGTCTGAACCAAGAAAATAATGGTCCAGAGGATCTTTAGTTATGTCAAAACGTTTGAAACTGCACGTGTCACCTTCAAAACATGTTGGAATATCTGATTTATCTGTGCTCAAATTGTATAAAGTTTCTGCTCCATTCGATGATACTGGCACCTCTGTGTCCAGGACAGCAAGATCCTCTCCATCACCATGTGTACTTAACAGACCACCATTATCAATGACATTAGATTTCTGAGAACCAGACTCATCACCAGAATCCCTTTCCTCGGAAATATGCATTATTCCTCGACTCTGATGTTCATTTTCACCTCTGGATTCAGAAAAATCTGGATGTACATTTTTTCGTGCCCTTGAGAAGATTCCTGTGGCTAATCTAGTAACAAAGTCGAGTGCAGCTAAAGGAATAGAAAGTGCAGGATTCCTTCTAGAATTATTATTCTCCTCACTCTCTTCAGCCTCATAGTTGACATCAGTTGCATTTTGCGGCCCAACTCCCTGAACAACGAAGACTTGCTTCATTTACTTGGAGAAAAAAGTGCACATCTATTACTACCACAGATAATCCTTTTTATTATATTATGCATTCATCTACAAAAAGACCAATCATCAGATAATCCTTTTTCCAAGACAGGGGAAACCAAATTCTATTCCTTATGTAATGAGTTTATCTAACCCATATACTTTCAATATTAATTAAATGCATATTATCTTAATTGCATCATTAAAATCCAGGGGACATATGTCAGTTTATAAAATGCCAACACAATCTCATTTTACAATCCTATGTTGATGAATCATGTCCTGCCAAGGACATACTACAAGTTACAAGAAACCCACAGATCAAGGTTGCTGGTTGCCCTTATAGCAATTGACATTTTACTCATTCTGAATTTAATAGAAGTTATGCCACAGTTTCAAACAGAAACAAACCTCTTGAATCTCAAGAGCATCCATCTCATCATCATTTACCGTTTCCCAACTAGCTGCATCATCACTTACTTCACTCCCAGCTGCAATTGAGTCATCATCATCATCATCTCGACCAACAACAAAGATTGCTTGAGGTCCAACCTTATTACAAACCAGAGAATCCATTAATCAGATTAGCAACAAGTTTAAGACAACCATTTCATGCTTTTAATGCTGAAATTTAAGTCGAAGAACCTAAAAGGAAAACTAAATGCAATTCAAAATCATAACATTACTCCAGTTTGAGAAGCTTATTAGATGCCAAAGTTTCTGTCCATACTCCATCCCCCATTCCGATCCACTCATAATAAATAAAAAAGATAAGGATAAAGACTCAACTGTTTGATAACCAATTAGACATCCAATGCATCTCTACACTGATGTTTTTAAGCAAACTATGAGAATGCAGGTAGCAAAAGATAAATAATGGCATTATAAGCACACATACAAAAGCCAAGAGGGCAGGAGGGAAAAAGAAGAGGCATTAAGCATACCGTTGAAACCATCCCATCAGCCCATGTGACTTCGATATCACCATTTCTAAGACCAGTTATATTTCCAACCCAAGTGAGATCTGAAAAGTCCACACAAGCTTCACCCTTGGAAACATCCTCTTCTTTCTTGCATCCTGAGCGTCTTTTTACACTTTTATTCTCAAGTGGTGCAGTTTTCTGCTTTAGTTCCCCTGCAGACTCACTATCAGAAGTTGATACAGCAGCTGGAGATAATCGCACAACTACATCCCCATAGGAATAATCATAATCTGGATGTCCCTCCAGCTCATACACGCTAACAATTTCCTCTTTGTCAAACTCACGAGGATCTTCTGCCCTGGCAACTGGCTTTAACCACCTCACACAAGCTGTTCGCTCTTTTGCATTAACACTTTTCACAACCCCAACACGTCTAGCTTCAGAAGCATTATCGTTATCATCCGAGGCCTTCTCCACCACATACTGTTCCGCAACGAATTCATGATCGCCAGGACTATCAATTGGTATCAAAGTTGTTGATTCCATCCCACGTCCTATGGTTCCATCCTGCCATGCCACATCAACCCTTGTTCTTGTATCAACAATCAGAACAGCTCTCTCAAAGTTTTCTTCTTTCTTTCGAACCTTCTTTTCTCTCCTAATTACTACTTTACGTATCTTCTTGCGATGAAGAGGCCAAGTTTCATGGACAGGGTCCTTTGAAACTGATGTTGAACTAACAAAAAAGCTAGATTCTAGTGAAGAATTACTTCCAATATTTTTTCCATTATTTCCATCTGGGACAACTGCTGGGTCAATATCCATGGATTCATTATTCTCATCTGATTCCTCTGGAGCAACCTCTTCTGAATCACATCCATTTCCCACTTGGCTAGCATCTGATTCACTTTTGCTTGAATCGTGAAGCCCTAACTTTGACAAACCTTTGTGCAAGGTGATTGAAGACGATTGCCTGATAGCAGGTGGAAGGAGACACCAATCACCGACTTGCCAATTTGCATGCGAAAAACAAGACAACAATTTCAAGTCCTTTGGACTCTGCTCCTCAATAGGGGTAGTTGAAGAATCAGGCCCATAGCCAGCAGATGCTATCCAATAGATGAACACTGATCCAGCAGTGACTTTAGCAACAGTACCTTCCAGCCGATTAGCTTTCCATGAGCCTGATAGCCACCGAACATTCCTCAGAACCGATGATGAGCTTGCCCTCACACGCTGCCCTGGGTAGTAAGGAGTATGCTCGTCTTCATCAAAGATACTCTTGGAAATTGGTTTGAGACGCAGTGGCTCTGCCCCATTTACTTTGCAAACAGAACCATCATCAATTAGCACAGTCACATTATCTAAAACATCATCAACTCTACCCAACCAGGGACCACGCACCACATAATCACCAATAGCAAACTCCCTTACCCGCTTCAACACTCTGGATGATACATCCTTTATAATAGATCCACCAGGGACTAACAAATCAACAGATATATTGACATCTAGCACAACACCCACTTGCCCAGTCGGATCAGAAGCCGAAGCAACATAATCCCCATGTAAGAATCCCCGATCAACAACTTTTATATCATTAACATGCTGGATTTGTTCTGTGTCATCCATCCAAAGTACTCGGACCTGGTCAGCCTGAAGTGCTTCATTCTTATGGTTACCATTAACTTTGTTCCTGCTACCGTCAGCATCACCATCACCATCACCATCACCATCACCTACTTCATCTTCGTCTTCATCTTCATCATCCTCATCTTCCTCATCTTCATCATCCTCATCATCAGTTATGCTGCTATCTGAATCTGAGTCACCGGCAACTTCATTCACTATCCCAATTACCCCACTCTTTTTATGTCTCACAATATCTTGTCTATAAATATATGGTACATTATGCAAGTTTGTAGCAACCTCACTCAGTTTGTTAACTTCATTGTTTTCACTATCTACATCAAAATCACGAGCCAACCCTCGATTTTGTTCACTTCCCATCTGAAAGCACGAAAGAAAATATGGAAAAATTATTCACAATGTTTATCAACAAGGCAAATTCGTCTGAATAAAGAATTAATTATGTTCTTATCATTAGTCAGCAAGTACTGAGAGCACTATGCCACATTTTACACACATCCATGAGAAAAGAATTAATTTTTTACCCCGTTCATTAGAAAAAACGAAACAAAGCACAAACTTTGACATAACCTACAATTGGTCAGCTGCCCTAAAGATGCAATACAAGGTGCATGCTTATTAGAGGGGGAGAGACAGAAAGGAAGGCAGGGAGTCATCAAGTCTTGTTAATGATTCCACAAAAAATGAAATACGTAAACACAATCTGAACCAAGTACTTCTAAGGAACAGGGCATGAGTTGTTCCCAGCCATCTTAAAACTCAATTTCAATAAAAACCCAGAAAAAGAAAAACTAATAACCAAATTACAAATTTGAAACTAAAACAAATGAAACACCTAAATGTCAAGACAAGCACAAACCAACATGAAATGCATATATTTATTAACATAAGGCCAGAACACAAACTCACAATCCAAAACACGCCCAAATTTCACCCACCAATAAAACATCATTCAATCACTTAAAGCCACTAAAAACATCAATCCGATTTAAAAAAGAAAAAAGAAAAAGAACAACAACGAGAAACAAAAGCATATCGCCACTAATAATTTTAAAAAAAAAAAAAACAACCAACCAAACTAAAGCAACTCCAAATTTACAATACAAAATCAGCTCAAACTCCAGGTGAAGTTACCTCAATTGATTAAACCTCCAAGTTAAATGCAAAAACAATATAAAATAATAAACATTTAAAAAATTCAGCTGTAAAGAGGAAGAAGAAGAAGAAAAGGAAGATAGAAATGAATTTCAAATGATAATAAGATTATGAGAAGATCTGTAACAAAAACTACCTTTTGAAACGAATTAGATTGTTGAACAGATTTGTGTCGTTTGATTTTTGAAAATAAATAAAAACAAATAGAACGGCTATTGCCTCTTGCTTGCCGCTGTATTATATACTTATATGATCGCCGATGGAGAAATAAAAGAATATTGATAATGCAAAAATGAAGAGAGACAAGGGAGCTGGAATCTGGAAGCAGTGTTGAAGGGTATATTTGTAATTTAAGAAGCTGTCTCCTGTGCCTGTCGTTTTGGTTGCGATTATCTTCGTCTCGCGTGTTTTAACTGAGTTCAGAATTTTGATTACCAAAAACACTTTGCTAATCCTATTATTAGTGGCCCGTTGATGTGCTTACCAATTGCCAATTCGATTTTCCAAAGTGTCAATATGATTCTGTTTTTTTCAAAACAGAAATTGTTTTTTGGTAAATAAAAATAAAAATAAATAAACAAATATTTGTTTGCTTAAATTTTATAACCATGAACAGTCTTTCCAATTCTCAATTTTGTTTCTTGTCTTGGTAACATTTAATTTTGTTAATGATAAGTGTAATTATTTTTTTATTTGTGGCAATCATAGTTAAATATGAAAACGCTAAATACATAATTTAACCCTTGACCAAAAAAAATTACGACACTCTGAATTTTAAAATTGACCTTCTCAATATTAATTTTTATAATAATTCTATACATCCTTACAATAATGTTTTAGATTTTTGACTTTTATATATAAAACATTAATTTGTTACGTGGTTTAATATAATTTTTGCAATAATATTTTTTATATTTTTCAACTATTAATAAATATTTTATGGATATAATTTTATAAGTTAAGATATTTAATAGGTCAAATGAAATATCTAACAGATCCAATTTTATAAATTGAAATATTAAATAAATTAAAATAAAAATTAAGGGTGTAATAAATTTTTTTATAAAAAGCACATAGGGTGAATTTATATATTAAGCAATATTAAAAGGATAATAATAAAATTCTTGAATTACTAAAAATATCAAAACTAAATAATATTGTTAATAATTTAAATATTATCAATTTTTAATTGACTTTTTTAAATTTATTCATTCATGTCATAACTTCCCTCCCTTTGCTTAAAATATGTTTATTAAAACATTTTACGAATAAATTATGTTTCACTATATAACTAATTTTACTAAAAATAAAAATAAAAATATTAGTTTGCATTTTCCTCAAGACTGAATAAGATGGTTGAGTACTGGAGTCCACCAAACAAAGAATAATGGCGAGTTGTATAGAGTTGAAGCAAAGATATGTTTTTTTTTTTCCCCAAATATGCAAATCGTTTTCTACTTTTTTTCACACAGGGATTGTTGGGACAATCTCTTCTAAGGAAGTTGGATAACTAAGCAAATCACAGCTTATAAATGTAAAGTTATGGAGTCAAATTCTACTTCAATAAAAGTATATTAACTTGAACCAATCACATAAATTGAACTCGAATTTAATTCGATAAGAGTATATTATTAAGTTCGAATTTAACTCGAGCTTGATTCATTTATATATTTTTAAAAAAAAAATTCTCTTTACATATTCGAGTTTGAATTTAAGATCAAATTTATTCATTTATTAAATAAATTCAATAAATAGATTTTAACTCGACCCTTATCCTTTAAATTTGGTGAATGAGCTCGAAGAAATTTTTTTAAATTGAACTTGAAATTATTCACAAAAAGACTTGATTGATATTATATAAGTGTATATTTTGGAATATTATGGTTCTCTTACTCATATAGTTGTTCATCTCAACTGCATAATTATACATTATCTGCTTCTTTTTATTTTTCATTACATGTTATTTTGGATATATTTAATGGAAGATGCAAGGGAAGCCCGATTTTAGGACTCTTGGCTTTGCCATTGCCTCAAGTTGGAAAGTCACACTTCTTCTCATCTTCAGATAGGTCTTTCAGGCAATATAAAATGTACGACTGTTTGAAGGGTGCAAGACCATGGGGAGATATTGGCCCTCAGTTGTTATCTTATGTTTCTCTCATGGATTACAAATCTTTAACTTTTACCTTTATTTTATCTCCATTTATGTACATGCATCTACCCTACTTATTTTATTTTATCCCCGCTTATGCGTCTGCGTAGATTTTTATATGCAGTCTTGAGGAACTACTTTTCTAGAATCGATTTCCATAAGCATAATTAAGTAAAAATGAAAGTGCAAGCATTTCAATAAAATTGAACCCTTAGAAGGAGAGACAGATAAAATAAAAGTGTTCCATGAGAAAAAAAAAAAAAAAAATTGGGCTGATTCGAGAAAAAAAAAAAAAAAAAATTGGCGAGTCAGTGGGAGTAAAGAGTCTTCCAAAAGAAGAGGAACCCTAGACCAAATAAGATAAAGGTTAAGGGGAATGGTTCTTACACTAGGAAAAAAGATACCCTTGCGGCCTTGCTCTTTCCCCACTTATTCATTTTTGACTTCCCTTCTCGAGGGTAGGCTTGGGCCCGATTGGAAGAATGGCAAAGCTTGGGCCGATGGAAGGTATTTTGAGTAAATCTTCAGTTTTACAGCCTTTTTTTTTTTTTTTTTTTTTTTGCTCGTGTTCATATCAAGGGAGTCTATAGTTAAACTATGGGTATTTAAATTATAAAATTCATCCTCAATTATGTGACTTGTTTGCAAAATCGACCTTAAATCGATTTTTTTGTATTTTAGAAACTTTCATTTGAAAATTTAAATATATTGACACTCTAATTTAAAAATTAAACTACAAAACAAAAACTAAAGTGATATTAATATGACGACAGGATTTTGATTTATATGGTGTTAATTAACCCACATGAACCAAAAAACTCAACGTTTTCTCCTCTTTCTCCTGACTCAAAAATTCTATCTCGTTGCAAATTAAATTGGATTCATCTTTCTTAAAATCCCACAATTACTGCGTTTTTTAACTCTCTTTCTCAGGTTAAGGACGTTCATTATTGTTGTTCTTGTGTATTTATAAATTTGATATACATGGGGCTGAGCAAGCTTTTCTATTATTCAGTTCTAAATATCAATCTGTGGCAGCAACGAATGGCTTAGCCATGAAGAAGTTTTCATACTTGTTTACACAAATAGCTAAATTCGTCAAATCAAATATATTTAATCATTTTTCGAGTAGAATTTGTCATTTGGCCTCCTTTATTCAATCTTTTACTTCCAAAATGCATGCAGCTTGTAGGAAAAAGTGGGTTAGTGGACCCTAAGTATAGATGGAACTGACAACTAAGTTTAGAAAAAAAACCGAAAAAAACAAATTCCTTCAGAAACCCGCCATCAAAAGGCCAGAAAAACCTCATATATGCATCAACAACAACCTTTAAACCACTTGAAAGTGCATCGCTTTTCAACTTTTTGGGATTAGAAGAGTAGAGTCCATGAGCCCCTTTTGTCACGACCCGTTTCCATGGACCGGACCTGGCATAGGGCCCAGGTAAGCTTAAGGCACCCCTGGAGGCCCCGTAGTAAGCCTGAAACACTTAAAAATTTACTATTCCAATATAAATTTCAACTATTCAAGACCCATATTACTAAATAAATAAACCTCAAGATTCTTATTTATCTCGGCTTTCAAATTTATCTTCTTACAAAATTCCACAGTTCGGCCCTAATTAACAATACATCACATCTTAATATGGGCTCACTATAATGGTATATCGTCTATGTTAATACACGACTAATTGTACCACAAATTCTACAACTGCGGAGTACTAAAACTATTATTGTATACATAGCTTTTATACATATAATTTACATAGTAAAATAATTATGAACTAGGAAAAACTTCTTTTAATAGCCCCTGTGGCGAAGAAATATAGCTTTAACCGTATTAAAAGAAAAGCTTTACTTTTTCCTGAAAAATTTCAAACAAACAGAGTGAGTTTTCTAAGGAGTCAATAATTATTGCACAACACACGCAGTCACACAAATGTGTAAACATATCAATCTAGTTCATCGACTAAGTATATGCTCCACGCAGCCAGTCACCTCAAATGGCATATCACCCAGCACTCACCAATCCATTTAATAAACATCTTCATATAATCACATCACGTGGAAAATGTGTCTGCAGGCGTCACCGTAACACCCCCGATGAGAGCCGGTCCTCCCACATGGCCCCATCCTCTCACGTGTGGCAACAAGGGAGGCCGATCCCCCATTTCTGGGCCGACGGTCTAATCCTCACTGACCAGCCCTCTCATTGTTTTTCCATTCTTCTCTTTTCTTTTCCATACCAACAGGTGGCTTATCTCCGGTCGTCTCCATCAAATCTAGATCATTCAGGGCTCACAACAGGGGCCACCCCTTGCGGGGCTGCGAATCAAATCTAGATTATCAGGTGCGGCCCAATAAAGAAGCCAACCTGTGTTTTATCATATCATATAGATCAACAACGGTAGTGTGCACACGGGGGCGCCGAATCTCCCATTATACTGCCGGGCGACGGTCCAGTTTCATCTAATTTATCAGTTAATCAGGATCCATTGCTTAATCGACCGTCCCCTCACAAAACCCATGGGTGACCCACTTATCCAATTCCACACAAACAAAGCAACAACAATAATCACAACACAATTAAGTCAAACATTGCAATCAAATGCAGACATATCTAATCATTAGACATCGTAATGCAATGCTCAATTAAACATCCAAAATCAATGCAAATAAAATAAATAGGATATTAACAAAGAAACCAACAATAATAAAATAAAATAGCAATAATATACAATAATTAATTGAAATAAATAAATTATGTAAAAATAATTAAATGAATTAATAAAGATAATAAAATAATTAGAGCACTCTATTAATATTTATTAAAGTTATAGAATTAATTAAATAAACTTATTAATTATGCTTATTACTTAAAACTAGTCTTAAGTTTTCTATCGAAATTTCGGCAGCACTCCCCTAAAAAAAATTTGAAACTATCTACCTGCTCAAATATCACAATATTTAGTATAATTATCAATCAATGCCACAAGCCCATCCGTCGGGCAAATCAACCAAGTCGAGTTTTACCATCCTCCATTAATAGCGCAATATCACCATTCAACCATAACTTCGCAAATTTAAACAATAACCTTCACTTTGTTCCAACATATACCAATTCCATTTTCTTGTTCAAGGTATAAACATCATATTAATTGTTATTTAAAACTCTATAGTTAGTCAAACTAAACTGATTGCATACTTTAAGTAACCCAACTCACACTTTAAAATCATATAATTAAGGCCCATCAAT